TAAAACAGCTAAAAACATCATAGTGTGGTGAAAAATTCGTTTCGCATACTTTTACATTATCATGCATTAATTATATGTATACAGAAAAAACAGAGTCATACTTATTGCGTATTTTAATGTAAATTTCTTGTATATTCCCATGAAACTGATAATTTACCCAGCATATTAAGGCCTTTAATCCAAGTATCTAAGTTCGTAAACCATACATACAATGTAACGAAAAAATATCAACGACATAGCATGCAGTTTTATGTAATCCTCACGACATTTAATTTGGTCCATTGACTTTAAATCCAATAATTGTCAAAATTATTGGAGCTTGGAAAAAACTGCATGTAAAAAAATCGTTACACTAATAAAAGACGACGTGAGGAGCGCGGGCAATAAACTACAGCGGCTATGGCATAGCCACATGAATACAGAACGGAATGAAGGAACTAGAACGGAGAACTGGCAACAGCGCACGCGAAAAGTAGGGGGGGTCGAACACACCGCTCAAGCGCTACAACGCATTAGTGGCATCCTGTCCACACACTGTTGATATATACCGATTTGTGGCAAGGTGCCACAATTAAAAACTGGAATGTTAGATGTTAAAATGGAGTGTTCATTAAAAATATCGATGCACAAATGTTTCTACCACCTTTCTTCATCCACTGGTGGCCGCAGTTTGAAAGATGCCACAATTAGGTGTTTGCGAGTATTCGGTAAAACCCCGTAGGTGTGTGTGTGTGAGTGTGTGTCCTTTAGCGCGATAACTCGAGCAAAAATGATCCGATTTTGATTTAATTTGATACAAACGTGCAAATAACCTACGTTTATTCGAAAACGAGTTCGCGATCCAGCAAAATTTTGCAATTTCTTTCTAAACCATTTTGTAAAGATTAAAAAAAGAAATAATTTAGTATATTAGAAGCGATGTTGTATGCCAAACGGTGGAGAAAATTCAAAAATAGTGTAATTCAAAATGCCCGTGTTATTCTCATGGAGAAAATGAAAATTGCTGTAGTTTACTTGTTTATGGATATATATTGATATAAAATTTGGCAAATTTATTTATTTCATCCTTATACTATTGACGTATGGTCAAAAAACCCTTTTTACCTTCCCCGTAGCAGCAAACCTAAGCACTCATTAAATCTAATGTTATTTAAATAGGGAATAAATATGTCTTATTTATGGAAATATTTTAGTAAAAATGTAATCAGACAAGTCGAAATTCTTAGTCTGCAGGTTTGCTACGGTGGGGGTATTTAAGTTGCCGATGGAATTAAGACACTGTTCTGTTACATTTTAGTTTTTATAGTATTTTAAGAATTTAGTGTTATTTTATATTCTTGTAAAGATATTATACAGTTTTTTCTCTTTTCTGTGCGAAATAAAGATGATTTGATTTGATTATGAGTATTGTTATTGTATCGTATCGGATCGGCATTCGATTCGGCAACATCGGCGTATCGTATCGTTCGTTCGTGTATAGGGACGTTGCGATACCACCAATCTTCCGATACTTGGTATCGATACCGTATCGAATCTGCGGTATCGATACCAGTAAAGTATCGAATAAAAAGTATCGATACCGTAAGTATCGAATGAGTACGGTATCGAATGAAAATGTATGCCTTTATCGTGAGTTGTAATGAAATTGGCAGTTAAAACCTATATAATTAGAAGAATAATACATTAGTTTAAGAGCAAGCACCATAAGAGATAAGAATAATTCTTATTGTTCTATATTAAAAAAATAATATCACTAAGAAATTTTTTTTACATTTTTGCACATGGGTTTCAGGTGTCTTTAACTAAAATTTTGTAAGGCCTGTATTATTAAAAGAACTTTTGAGGTTTTTGTAGATGCCCCATTCCATTTTAAAGTTATATATTTTACCATTAACATTTTATAAACATTTTCATTTTTAGATTAACATAGAGAATAATTTCTTAAAAATTGCAGCTAATGATGTTACTTTGAAATAAACAGTAGCCTATAACAGTAAACCAGATGTTGTAATAGCAAAAATTAGTTACTTCATGATTGATGTGTTTTGGAAAAATCAGACAACTCTCAGACAATGTAAAACGAACGTTTATTTTTACAACTTAAAAAGCTTATTAAAAAGTTGATGTACAGAAAATTTGTAGAATTGTGAATCAAAGTTAAGTGAGCCAAACAAAAACATCAAAAACAAAATGTAAAACATCTACAGGAACCACTCCTCATCTGACACACTATTTAAAAAAACAAGTTTGTCCAAAAACTTGGCTGATAAACGATTGCGTAGTTGGTTCACTGTGGAGCCAGCCTTGGAAAAAAGCCGCTCGCTGGGCAATGACGTAGCCATATGAAGTAAATTCTTTCTTGCTTGTTTATACAAGGCTGGAAAAACATTTTTCATGTCCTCCCATGCTTCCAATGGATGGGATTTTAAAGGCGTCACAGGATTTGAAAGGTACAAAGTTATCTCTGAAGAGTCAGCCTGTTTTCCTTTCTTGTTCTTCCCTTGGGCCAATTCTTTATGAGTTTGCCAAAAGTCAAACGCAGGATTAGTCTTTTCCTCTTCACTGGAATCTCCAGATACAGATGACTGAGAACTCTCTTCTTTGCAGACAGCTTTCAGTTTGGAAATGGCACTTCCACAAGCTGATGCATTTTGAAAATGAATATTTTTAAATCGAGGATCGAGGAGGGTGCTTATGGCTAGGCGATAATTTTGCTCAGCCTTTCCAAACCGTTTTGCCATTTCCGTCTCCAAGGTTTGTTTCACCGCTTTCATAGATGTACTAGTGGCATTGAATTTTCCTAACTGAGAAATTAGGCAGTTGATCATAGGAATGATTTTTGATACAGTTATGTATTTTCCCCAGATATATCCGTAGTAGCAAACTCAAATGGTTTCAGGAGCGATGCAAGGTCTCGCAGATCTGAAATTTCCACCGCAGTTGGCATTTCTGGGCTGGTGTTATCATTTATTACAATCTGGCTCACTACTGACAAAAGCTCCAGAAAACGTTCGACCATGTAATAGGTCGAGTTCCATCTCGTTTTAACGTCGAGAATCATTTTCTTCACCTTTCCTTCTGGAACGTTACTTTCAATTTGAATTTTTCTCAATTTGTCCGAGTTGATGACACTGTTTTTGATGTACTTAACTACGGATCTTACTTTTGCTATTATTCCTACTACATCCGGATGGGAAACTGCTGCCATTGTAACCAAATTAAGGGTGTGGGCAAAGCAAGGCATCTGCTTATTAGGAAGAGCAATTTGAGCTGCTGCCACTATGTTTGAACCGTTATCAGTAACAATACTGATTACTTTCTCCTTCTCGATTTCCCAATCGGCTAAGATTTTTGTCAGGTTCTCACCAAGATATTCCGCTGTATGATTGGAATCTAACTGCTTACATGCCAGATCAATAGATATGATGCTGATACCATCTAAAAAATGGGCTGTGACTCCCAAGTATGATTTCTCAGCCATTGTCTCTGTCCAAACATCTGTTGAAAGACAAATATGCGTAGCTTTGTTTAACTTGGTTTTCAATCTACTGGAAACAGCTTCATATTTATTAATAAGCTGTTTTTTAAGAAGTCAACTGAAGGGATCTTGAATGCTGGGGCCAGTTCATGCATGAGGTGTTTAAAACCCTCACCTTCAACCACAGCAAATGGACGGTTGTCCTTACAGATAAAATAAAGAATACTATTGACAGTTTTGGAGTAGCGAATGCCACCAAAGGTCTATTCACTAAGACGCTTCCTGTAGGCTTACCTTGTAATAGGCTTTGTTTGTCACTCTTTGATGCAGGTTCATCATCTTGGTTAACACTAACACTCTTATGGTTACTTTTCAAATGTTTTAATAAATTGCTTGTATTTCCACTAAACTTCACCTCTCTCAAACAAATCTTGCAAATGGCTGTTTTGGAATCTTTCTTCTGAAAGTGTTTCCACAGTTTACTTTTGGGAGGAGACATATTTTAATATTCATAATGAACACACTTAAACTTGTTATGTAACATAAAATCCTACACTGTGAATCACATTGAAACTAATAACTAAAAACCTCAAATAACAGTAAGCTGAAAACAATAACAACAGCAACCGGCACAGCGAAGCGGTAATATGACATGGACATGACGATGACAAATCGACTAAGCGTAGGCGGAGTGATATGTTACAGATGATGGTTATTGCTTTATAAGTAAACTCCACTTTAAATGGTATATTTAAATAAGGTTAGATTCAACAGCCTTATTTAATTTAAATCGATATGAGCCTTTGAAAGAAATCAACGTTTAAATTGGATAAAACATACATATTTATAAAATATAAATTAGAACTACTTTTTCGATACCGATACTGCATATTTTCTTCCGATACCGATAAAGTATCGCTTCATTCGATACCGATACCGATACCGCAAGTATCGAAAGAAAAGTATCGATACCTACTGGTATCGATAGTATCGCAACGTCCCTATTCGTGTACGTACTACGTAGCGACAAGCATTCCTTCCTCACCTAATCCCATCATAATGTTTATATGATATTATCCAAGATATTAAGAAAGTCATCGTGTTTTAATTGCGGATAGTGAACAGCTTAGCTTTTATGGATATTTGAAGCTCGAATAAATTATTACCTATATTCCTGCAAAGTAAATCATTTTGGGATAAACAAACGAATTAGTTTTGTAAAATGGGTGAAAAATCTCAGGGTGTTCAGCCGATTGTTAAAATAGGACACTATATATTAGGACAAACTCTCGGCGTGGGAACATTTGGAAAAGTAAAAAGTAAGTACATTGCAACTAGATATTTTTATTGTTTAGGCCTACTGTATTTAGAACGTAATTTTACTACAAGTTACTATTTGGCAGACATTCTGCCTTCCTTTCCCTACAACAGTAAGACGCCTATGAAGGCCGCCATATTGTCTTGTCTTGTCTATTGCCAAACAATGTCAAGTCATCGTATTCGTATTGACCAATGGCGTGTTCGGTTTAGCGAACAATAACAATAGCCTAGTCTTTCCTTTTCTAGTTTTTGTTAAAATATTATTTTTAGTATTGGTTTGGATAGGAGTTCGGCTTATTTCTTATTCAGTTTACATGAATAATAATAATAATCAGCTGGAGAAGTAAGCTTAGTGGAATTGTTGTGACCTTTTGTTTTCAACTCAGTTCCTTCCTAAACAAACCTAGTTTAATGTAAACAAGTCAAGTGCTGCGCAGTTTTGAATTCGCGTACAGTAGTTATGCTAGGCCTTCGCTCATAATTGAACGACAATCGTAATGAACTGGCCGCGGTCTTCTACAGATATGTAATGGATTCCAATTTTTATTAATTTATCGAACATGTCTGAAAAAACTCAAGGAGTTCCACCAGTTTTAAAAATAGGCCATTATACTCTGGGAAAAACAATAGGTCATGGGAGCTTTGGAAACGTGAAAGGTAAGGAAATGCAAATTATTGAACACCATTATATCCCTGTTATTTGGCAGTAACCTCAGCCTAGTTAGTTTGTTGATAACCTAGGCCTATTTGACCCATAATTTTAAGTGACCATATAGGCCTAGGCCTACCTATTTTGGACTCCAAAGTGAGACTCCCCATTCCGTGAGGCAGGAAAACTAAAAAAAAAATTATAACTGTAACTTAGGCCTTAACTAACTTAACCCTCCCAGTGTTACTTGACGAAAATTCGACAAGCAGCACACTTTGTGTAGTGTTACTTGTCGATTTTTCGACACGCAGACATCGTTTACGGCGAAGGCTCTATGACTGACTGAATCGGATTGAACTGGATCGAGTTAGGTATCGTTCTTTCCGTAATATTCTAAGCTTTCTCCAGAGGTCTGTCTCTAAGCGCTATTCATTTTAGTTCCGAAAATATTGTAGCAGACAGCTGACGTGCGTGTATTTGTAAACAGCTAGGTTCCCCCGGACCGATGACTGATGTGTTTTATTACGTTTATCATTGTTTTAGTGTTAAAAATCAAAAGTAGTGATATACGTGGTGCATTATAAGAAGATTTAAGTGGTTTTGAAGTGCTTGTTGATGATCCTGAAGAAATAGGTAGTGATATTGATGTAAATTATCAGCCAGATTCCTAGCTATGGTTAGGCTATGCATTCTTAGCTAAACGCTATGTACTGAAATCAGTTTTTTGCCCATAACTTATTTATTTGCAAATCTACTTCCTTATATTATTATATATTTGTAATCCTCATAAAATTTAGAACAAAGTGGCTATTTTCAAATATTTATAGGCCTATAATTTATACAATTTCATTGAGCGCGAACTTATTTTTTTTTTGAAAATTTTCAAAATTATATTTTTTTTACCTAAAAATTTTTTTTTTGGAAAAATGTTCCTTATGTTTTATATATAATATTGAAGCCCATGATTTTCCAAACAAAATGGTATATAGAACATTAGAATTAACATTGTTTTAAGCTTCTCAGATCCGTTTTAATAAAACCTTGCAAATGCGCCAAAAATAGGTGGACATTAACCCTCCCAGTGTTACTTGACGAAAATTCGGCAAGCACCACACTTTGTATAGTGTTACTTGCCGATTTTTCGACAAGCAGACATCGTTTACGGCGAAGGCTCTAAAAACTGACTGAATCGGATTGAACTGGATCGAGTTAGGTATCGTTCTTTCCGTTACATTCTAAGCTGTCTCCAGATGTCTGTCTCAGCGCTGTATTTTTCTCCTAGCCGATCATAATTGATGCAGACAGCTGACGTGCGTGTATTTGTAAACAGCTAGGTTCCCCCGGACCGATGACTGATGTGTTTTATTACGTTTATCATTGTTTTAGTGTTAAAAATCAAAAGTAGTGATATACGTGGTGCATTATAAGAAGATTTATGTGGTTTTGAAGTGCTGGTTGATGATCCTGAAGAAGTAGGTAGTGATATTGATGTAAATTATCAGCCAGATTCCTAGCTATGGTTAGGCTATGCATTCTTAGCTAAACGCTATGTACTGAAATCAGTTTTTTGCCCATAACTTATTTATTTGCAAATCTACTTCCTTATATTATTATATATTTGTAATCCTCATAAAATTTAGAACAAAGTGGCTATTTTCAAATATTTATAGGCCTATAATTTATACAATTTCATTGAGCGCGAACTTATTTTTTTTTTTGAAAATTTTTGAAATTATATTTTTTTTACCTAAAAATTTTTTTTTTTTTGAAATGTTCCTTATGTTTTATATATAATATTGAAGCCCATGATTTTCCATACAAAATGGTATATAGAACATTAGAATTAACATTGTTTTAAGCTTCTCAGATCCGTTTTAATAAAACCTTGCAAATGCGCCAAAAATAGGTGGACATTAAGGCCTAAACTATGGACACTTGGAGGGTTAAGGCCTAAACTATGGACACTTGGAGGGTTAAGTTAACGTTTTTATGTAGGTCTAGGCATAATCTAGTCATAAACTTAATAACTTAATTTGGTTATTATTTCCGACGCCCAACTCACCTAAAACGTTATTTAAGTCACCCTATAAGTTAAGACGTTTTAAAACTGTTCATATACACCAACACTAGGGCCTACAACTTTCTCAAATGACTTTTTTGTCGCCGAGGCTTCCTGTAGACATCACGCCTGAAAAACTCATGGCAAATATTTGATAAGTATATATCTACAACGCGATATCCTGTAATTTTTAGATGCATACTTAGGCCTAGGCCTACAGTTTTTTTCACGCTGAATCGAAAAGTGCAATCAGTTTTAGTCGGAGAGATTCCTAAGTGGCCGTAAGGTTAAAATTATGAATCTAAGGTTCATTGAGCGGTACTGATGGTAATATGGCGTGGTCTGGACAGGTCTGTATGTGGACTGAGGACTGAGGGAGGAGGGAGAGCAAACAGCTGTTTATACTAAACTTAAACTTAATGCGGAATGAAATCAATTTGTTTTGAAACCAAATAAGTTAATTAGTTCTTATTTAGGCATGTGAGGAAGGCTTACGCATTTTTGATATCGTTATTTCATTGCTTTTCACCCACTATTTAATTGTGCAAAAACAGTCTGGAAGTTACCATAAATTAAAGAGTCGGTTCATTATAACCTAACCTTTAAGTTTTTATCCGCATAAAGTCCGACCTGTCTTCCTCACATGCCTTTTCTGATAGAATGTGATTTAAAAATTAATATTAAGGTTGGGTTAGGTTAGGTTGGATTAGATTAGATTAGATTAGCTGCGCTTAATGTAGCCTAATATAAAAGGGTTTCAATAATAAAGGGTAATTATATCGACCTCCGGACCTCACGCGAAATTAAAAATTTTTTTTTCCAAAATGTTCGAAATTTCACGCTGATTTCAAAAATGATTGTCGTTTTTTTCGGAAACGTCCCGTTTTCCCGGAAAATGGGAAAAACGGGAAAAATATTCTTTTGCTCAAAACCCATGTTGTGGGTACTCAAATTGTGCGGAATTTCCTCTTGAACAAGAATATGTAAATTTTATTACGATCGGACCACTATTAAGTAAAATATCACCGAAAAACGGGAGAACGGGGAAATTTTTCTTTGCTCAAAACCCATGTTGTAGGTACTCCTGAACAAGAATATGTAGTTTTTATTACTATCGCTTTTAAGTAAAACATCACCGGACAGGTTACCTAACCTAACATAACCTAACTTAGGTTTGGATTAGGTTAGGTTAGGTTAAGTTAGGTTAGGTTATGTTAGGTTAGGTTAGGTTAGGTTAGTTTAGGTTAAGTTAGTTTAGTTTAGGTTAGGTTAGGTTAAGTTAAGTTAGGTTAGGTTAAGTTAAGTTGGTTTAGGTTAGGTTGAGTTTCGTTAGGTTAGGTTAAGTTTGGTTAGGTTAGGTTGGTTTAGTGTACCTAACCTAACTTAACCTAACCTAACTTAGGAACTTAGGTTAGGTTAGGTAAGTTTATTAATAACATGAGTATTGTAAGTAAACTAACCTAAACTAACCTAACCTAACCAAACTTAACCTAAACTAACCTAACCTAAACTAACCTAACCTAAACTAACCTATCCTAACCTAACCTAAGTTCCTAAGTTAGGTTAGGTTGGGTTAGTTTATCAATAACATGAGTATTGTAAGTAAACTAATCTAAACTAACTTAAGCTAACCAAATTAACCTAACCAAACTTAACCTAACCTAACCTAAACTAACTTAACCTAACCTAAACTAACCTAACCTAACCTAACCTAACCTAACCTAACCTAACCTAACGAAACTCAAACTAACCTAAACCAACCTAACCTAACTTAACCTAACCTAACGAAACTCAACCTAACCTAAACCAACCTAACCTAACCAAACTTAACCTAACCTAACCTAACCTAACTTAACCTAACCTATCCTAACCTAACCTAACCTAACCTAACCTAATCCAAACCTAAGTTAGGTTATGTTAGGTTAGGTAACCTGTCCGGTGATGTTTTACTTAAAAGCGATAGTAATAAAAACTACATATTCTTGTTCAGGAGTACCTACAACATGGGTTTTGAGCAAAGAAAAATTTCCCCGTTCTCCCGTTTTTCGGTGATATTTTACTTAATAGTGGTCCGATCGTAATAAAATTTACATATTCTTGTTCAAGAGGAAATTCCGCACAATTTGAGTACCCACAACATGGGTTTTGAGCAAAAGAATATTTTTCCCGTTTTTCCCATTTTCCGGGAAAACGGGACGTTTCCGAAAAAAACGACAATCATTTTTGAAATCAGCGTGAAATTTCGAACATTTTGGAAAAAAAAATTTTTAATTTCGCGTGAGGTCCGGAGGTCGATATAATTACCCTGCAATATGTCTTAGGGCTAAAGAAAATATTGTTACCAAGCATGGAATCTCTCATTGTTGGTTTCCTTATTACACATAAGTTAATATTATTTATTAGTTTGCTGAATACATGAAATTATGCACTGTCAAATCAAATCATTGCACGTTTTCACTTTTATACACAATGGGATTATGTACCTTATGTACTAAGGGATTATGCACTATGCTACGTCCATAACAGACGACGTTGAGGGTTCTTATCTTATCTTATCTGACAGGGGCAGGTCGGGACCTTAAAGCACTTCATCCGAAATCGAATTATTGCGCACCCCAGATACTTAATTGCTTTCTTGTTGACCTACAAGTTGAGGCGCCCAATGAATGCCTGTAGCTTCCCAATTAGTTCATCCTCAGAAAGATATACCTCTAGCTATATTTCCAAGAGTTGTCGATCTAGCGTCAGAGAGCCCGTTACAATCAAAGAGTAAGTGATCAGCTGTCTCTTCTGACCTATCACAGTACCTACAGATCGGTTCACCATCATATAAGCCCATCCGTTGTAGATGTTTCCTGAATCTTCCATGACCAGTTATCAGTTCAACAATTAATTTAATTCTTCGTCTGTCTAGTCTCAAGAGGTCACAGGCAACCTTTTTGGAAGGCC